TGTCCTACAACATGCCCCCAGGAGATGCGAGGACTATGCAAATCTGTCACATTCAGGACTACGTGAAACCCATCGGGCAATGATTGCTTTAGTGCCAAGAGGCGATGCCAGCAATGGCGAAGTCATCGAGCTTCGAGGGGTTGAGGTAAACCTGGAACCGCTGGGTGTCTCAGTACCAAGGCCACGGCAAGATACTGATAACAACCTCATAATTAGTCCTACTGTATATGAGCGAGAAAGTACGAAAGTTGATATATTAGCGTCTCCTCCCACCTATGAAGAAGCAACGTCTGTAACAGGCCAACATATTTTTCGACAAGTTTAAAATCTAACAATGCGATGGTGTGAAGTGTAACCCTCCGATTTGGTTGAAATTTCGAAATTATGTGGTCCGTGTCAATGCAACCAACGTTTCTTCAGGCAGTTTGTGCGATAGTCAGGATTTGTCAAAATATTTGAGGTCAAAGTTGAAAAACGGACGATTTTTACCAGGCGGAGGACGTAAACTCAACTTCCATTCTCTTCCCGTGCTAAAAATTGCACATTTTTCAACTTTAACCACAAATATAGTTTTTAATTTTGCAAAGTCGTTGAATCTCCATTAGTTATAAGGATTTCTAATTGAGATTGTTAATAATTATTATCAAAACCGATAGAACACTGATTACATAATTCTTAAGAGACAAAATATCCGTAACGAATGGAAATTTACGAATTTTTCCCATTGAAAATCTTTCCATTGTAGCGAAACATCTACATAATTTTATATTCTGGATGTAGTAAATAGAAAATATTGTATGTATTTACGTACGAGGTAAATAGCAATGTTAATGATGAACAATTTATATGTACAAATGTCAAAAGGCCCATTCCATATGTCAGTCACTATAAACGTGTTCAAAGCTTACATAACAATTAAATGGAACTCATTTAAGGTAACTTACACAAATGTGGAAATAATGTACAAAATAATTCCAAAATGTAGTCTCAATGTTATCAATGCCATGCGAATAAATTTACAGAAACGTTTCCATGGAAAGGAAATTATAATCTAAAAAAAATCCCGTTTAAAACTTTATTCAAGTTCATAAAAACCATAATTATTGGTATCTCATCGCTTCTTTTTTATTCATTTAAGTTGAAACATTAATTAATCATGACACTTCGATACGAATCTGCCCATGAATTTTTAACATTTCCAACTGGGTTAATGAAACAAAATTAGTTAATCCGGATTCAGTTACTTGGTTAGCTGAAAATTTGCATAGGAATCATTTTTCCCGAATTCCAAGATTTCATAGACTTTGCACATACAGATAAATCATGGGCGAACAAAGATGTTGACGTTTAATGTAGCTTGTCAGAAAGTTTTGCAGTAAATAATTTGGTAAGAAGGATAGGCAATTTATTTAATCTGCTCCAACTCAAATCGCCCGTCGAGTAGATATCTCGGTGAGATAAAGTGAAACAAGGTGGTCCCATACTCCCAGCAACTCGATATAGTGCTTAAGTTTCTTAAAATCGTCTTGCCCCGAATTTCTGAACATGGCAAAAACAGCTTTTCTCAATAGGACATAATCTCGAAAAATCGTGTCATGCAAGGAAAGAATTTCTTGAAGAACAACATCCACAGATTTCTTTTCAACGAGAATTTTAAACATGATCGTGTTGCCCTTCTCGTTTCTGGAAATTTCCTTTTTCAATCCAAGAATATCGCTGCGAATAGCGCCCAATGGTACTGCGATGTAGCGAATAGTCTAAAATTTAAAAAAACAAGTATGTAGTAACTTGGTATTTCATGCACATTAATGACATGCGAGTTTAAATTTGTTAATCTTCGTAATAGAAACAGCTACGAGATCAACATTTTTCAGAAATCATTGGACGTACTTTACGTCAACTTGGGATCTTTTGTAAATTGAACAGAGTTACGTAACTTGTGACGCTTTGCTAAAACCATAGGCTTTTTTGCAAATTTACCCGAACAATTGGCATTTTTTTATTTTGAAAAATTATTTCACAAATCTGCAATAAATTCTTCAAAAATTGCAAACTAAATCATGGAAACCGATTTAAGGATAGGATAAAGATTTGCGAAATTTTCTAATTCATATTTTGTGAAACCCCTCACGATACAATTTTTTAGTTTCTAAAAGTCTTGTTTTTAGTTTCTAAAAGTTTGCTAAATAGGTTCCGATGCGAAATAAGACTCTCTGAGTACGATAATTATTTTTTTAAATTGATCCCAATCTCACCTTGACCATCACGTGGTCCTCCATGTACTTCAGAGGACTCCCATTTTCCAAAAGTAGAACAGTTTCATGCGAGCCGAATATGCCGCACTCCAAATTTCTCCACTGCACAAATGTCTCGAACGAGTAGCCTGCCAAATTAGAGCTCATTAAACCCCACGCGTTTGATTGTAAATAGATCTTCAATCCCTTGATGAGCCGATGCTTAACATTGGGGTAATCTGGCACAGTCTCCCCTGCCATAGCATCACATTCCGCATAGCTTTTTTTGATAGCTTGAAGCAAAGGGTCCGAGCAATGCATTACTTCCTAGACAATAAAAATTAAATACAATTCATGACTACACATTTCTCGAAAATTATGCATAAATGTATATTAAGGTAATTCAACCCGTCCTTGATACCATTGTAAAACCCGTAAATTCTGCAAGCTTACTATAATCTGAAATTTTACAAATCGTTCTAAGGAAAATTAGCGTACAAACTTTTATAAACTTACACAGATCAAGGGCGTCGTATCATTATGTAAAAGTTCGTAAAATTATTTTTTCGAAATTTACGGGTTTTATAAAGTTACCAGGCGGCTGCATGAATTGCCTCATTATTTTCAGCATTACTAAGGAAACCCGTTATATGTGCATAAATGGGCAACATAAATGTGCATGTACAGTATTCTTTTGCAAATGTACGCATTAGAAAATATTTTGACAGGGTGACCCACGCAAGAAAATTCTGGCGAAATATTTGTGCAAATTTATGCAAGTTGAAATGATGAGCTCGGTTTTTTATCTACCTCTTTGTTTCCTTCAGTCTCAACAAATTTCTCAATAATGTCGAGAATTTCCATTCCTCCAATGTCCGACTTGAGGGCGCACGTGTCAATCCAATCGTCCAGAAGCCACCACCACGTGTACAGCAAAGCATAGTAAAGCTGCTTCTCATAACTTGGGCAAAGTAATAGTTGATCTTTGCAAAAGATGCCGAATTCATGGCAATTTTGTCATAGTACTTCGTCTCCTTTACAATTTCCAAGCAGGCAAAGTGTCGTCTCACGAAGGCCTCGACGTCTCGGAATATTTTACTCTCTCTAATCGTCTCAATCTCGTTCAATGATTCCACCACAACGGATGGGGTCACGAGGTCAAGTTGCACCTTAATCTTGGTCGACGAAGGAAAATCCTTGTCCGAATGAAAAATATATTTTACCCGGGTCGTACCGAAGTATTGCAAACTGTCGGATTTATTTTCTTCTCTCTGCGCCGTCACTGGTTTGGAAGTTTCTGTCAAGGGATTAAAATAAGGGAAATAGTTAGCGCAGTAAACTCTATGTTCCAAACGTTGAAACAAAAGTAACACGTTGTTTTATCTAATGAAATCATAAATAATTAATTTATAATTATTAGTTGTATTTAATTATTAAATTTTTAGTTTAGCCGATAAAGGGCATTCAAATCTTTTGAGCTTCATTGAATTGTCTCATGTTACTTACTCTTTAAAATAGTATTGTTAATTTTTTAGTAATTACCATTGTAACAATTCGCATATTTATCGCTTACAAAAATCCTAGCTTGCAACTCCATATTAGCAAATAGGTTGTAACTGGGGACATTTGGCCTTCAAATCTCCTTTTATACGATACAAAAGGAAATTAAGACACGTGTTTTACTGCAAAGTTCTGTACGCGTGTCTTAATGCATAATGCGAAGTCGTTTTTTTTCTGGAAACTACGCGCATCCCATCAAAACTATTCGGTAGGAAGTTTCGTAATTATGTATAATTGTGTATAATATTACGTACTTATACACTGTATGTACATATGTAGATATTTGAGATGTGGAGCTTAATGGAGATTAATAAATATTGGTTTGCCTAACATTAGTTTTTGTGGTCTTTCTTGCATCCTAATGACCCTACACATTTACAAAAAATTGCACACTGGGTTAAAGAAAATGGAAAAGGTTGCAAAATCGCGTAGCAACTGCGTATAGGGAAATTACTTTTAAAAAAAAATCTACAAAAGAGGGATAAAAAGGATAAAACACATTCATTACTTATATATCTTCTCCAGGGAAACTGTTTGCATGAAAAAATTTCTTCTTTCACAGATTAATGTAGAATTTAGACTTGATTTACCTGATGTCAATCACGTTTCTACACATTGCATATACAAGCATGTGTAGTTCAGCAGATTACTACACGTACACATGTTTATACGTACAAACATACCTATGTGTGTCTGTTTATGGTAAAGTTGGACAAATTCTACGCTGCACACTTTATTACTTTTTTTCTCTGGAAGAAATATGGTATTGGTATTGGTACATAATAGTAATTTAATAATAATTGGTGTACAATAATTTCTGTGTATCAAGAGTATGTCTATATACTGCATACGGATAACAATCTGCAAACGTGCAAAAAATTCGTGGCAAACCTTTCACTACGAGGAAAGCATGAGTTCACCTTGATTGTAAATTTCGGTACGATACCTTGTTTATTTAATTAAGCAGCGTTTCGACCTTAATATAGGTACGATTATAATTAAGACTGTAATTCGCACCTGAAGAAGATATGCTGTATAGCAACGATTCTTTGCAAATACAATACTAACTGAATACAGATAAGTCCTTTGATATCTGTAAATAATGCTACACATACAAGTATTTATGTATTTGAAAACGTGTGGATGTGCTTTATTAAATATGATAATAATGATCATGTTCGACATGCTTATAAGGGCAAAAAGTTACGCTACATTAAATACAAATTATACAATACGGATATCTGTATTTAGTAGTTAGTAAGCACAATCAGCCAAACAATTATAATTGTCACTTTTCCTATAGCTACAATTTACATCCACTCGAATGCAAATCCTGATCTTGTAATATGAACGTCTGACGTGAAAGTGACCAGACCCAAGCTTTCATGTAAGGTCAAGGTTGGCGGTATGGTCGTTCCACAGGTTCTAAATAAGTATGAATTAAATTCGTCATTAGAGGAAAATTTATTTAAAAGGGTGTAAAATAACGTGACATTAGGTTAAGGTCATGACTTCCGAATATCTTAGATACCTTGTTATGAGAGCATACATCCCATTTAACCAGCTGTACACTGAAACTGCATCAGCAGTGCATCCGGACCAGTTTTCGAGGTCCATCGCTAGAAAAGAGATGAACCTCTGTTGTGGCGTGGCTGGAGCGATTATGAACAGAGCATTCTCGAAGTTGTCATAGCCACCGCCATGGCTTGGATACGTGAGGTTCCCTGTTTCTCCGCTCGTCTGCATGAATCCGGTGAAGTCGGGGGTCTGGTCGGCTAACCCGCTGGAAAAGAGGTGCAGACTGAAGCCACGCGTGGGCGCGGATCCAACGGCAAGTGTAATGATGACAACTCCGCCGCCGGAAAGGGTGTAGTTTTGACCAACGGATGATCTGCAGAATGGAAAATTGTCGGTAATTTTTTGCAAATTGTCGATTTTAATATTTATCCGCACATTCTTAAATAATCGACTAATTCTTAGTGTAATTAGAATTAGGAATAGCATTTGGCGCTGATAATCCAGTGATAGTAGAATTATTTTTGTTCCTTGTCATCTTATTTGCATAAATTCTCACTACGACGGTTATCAGGCTTTTCTTGTTGAATAAACTCTACGGCTCTCGATAATGCACCCAAATATGCAAATTAGGTGACCCAACACAATAATAGTTGTACCGTTTGTATGTATATGCATACTTTAATACGGATTGGTGCATTTTTTTTACTCACACTCTTTGTTGTTCCCTAGGGACTGAATTGACAAACTTCGTAACATAAAGGCCATCACTTCCGCTCAGCCCGGATGACTGAAGTCGGAATCGGATCGTATCATAGGGCACTTTTACGATCCACACGCACCGTTGATTTGCCCGAATAGATCCTTCAACTAGGTAGTTGATGCTGGCAGAGGTCACGTCGATCCGCCCGCCACAGGACGTAACTAAAATAAGTATGACGAGATTGACATTTTAAATTGTTGGATCGACTTCACTTGGGGAAGGGGTCAAGGCATCCTGTTTCTGTGCAAATTATAACATGGGGAATACAGGTCAAGGGTGTAGGGGTAAAAAATCTCTGAAAATCGGATCGCATGCTTTATGTACGGGCCTATACGCTTTATGCCTTATTTATAATGACGAGGATGCCTCGCCTGTCGATAAATTAGTTCAAAATAGGCAAATCTATCTACCTGTTTCCACAGGTGTTAGGTCCTCTTCGACAGAGCTAATTGACGATCGGATCCATTCCAGGAAATATGAAATTTCCGTGTAAACCCCTGGAAAACCTGGGAGGCCACACCTATTTCCCCACGACGAAATCCCACAAAGGGTCTGATTCTCCCCGCATACGAGGGGAGCTCCCTGATCTACATAAAAAGGGTATGTAAATTAACAAGCATGTCTGTAAATATTTGCATACATTTAGGGTATTCATAATGAGTTCACATCTCAATCAATATTAGCAAAAACAAATTCGCAAGTTCGCAAAAAAATGTGTCTTGAAAATTCACCTGCGAAACTTACTCATTCCCAAAGCTAGTATTTACATACATAGTTCGCAATTTATTAAAATTATGGAGTGATGTGAACATGCGAAAATGAATAGCCCTATTATAATTTTTGTACCATACCTCCCGAGCACGAGTCCCTTCTAGGTTCGCCATAGCAAATCATCGACTCTGCGATGCCTCTGCCGATACTGTCGAAACTGGCGTGACACGTGTCGTGGTCAACAAATGGGACGTTAACCTTCAAGAGGTCGGTAGAATATGCGGTACCACTTTCAGTCGTGGCTCCCCATCCGGCCACTGTACATACGGCTGTAACAGTGAAGAACAATTAAAATGATTTAAAAAAATTACATTTGGTGATTCTCATTATCCCCCAAATTTAGCTATTACGTGGCGGAACAAATCCAGCCTCCGGGAAGACAGCGGGTTGGACGAATTCGTTAAGTTCAAACGGCGGGGTAACCCTCATTAAAGCGACGTCATTTTCATACAGAATAAATCTGGTTGTATCCAAACTAAGATAACTTCTAAAATTTAGACAAAATAATCTGCAGTATTGATTGTCTTAAATTATGTAGATTATGCAAATCTGAATGTGTTCTTATTTCACGGAATACATCATCAGTTACATACCTCGTATAGTTTGGGTGGATTAAAATTTTTGTCACATTTCGAAATTGTTCTTCACCATCAACAGTATCAATTTTGTGATCTCCCGCTACTATTGTGTACGTAGAGAGGTCATCCCAAGCAAACTGGGCTGAAGTAACGACCCATTCGGGTGAAATTATGGTTCCTGCAAAGTAGTAGGAGGGACGGTGTATATTAACGACGAATTTAAATTCGTGACGATCCGCCACCACTCCTCCGATGATCCTTCCATTGTGAAGACTGGGACGTTGGTTGCCATTCTGTGGGGTGGCTGATGCATCAAATCAAAATATACAAATTTTTTATACACTCTTAAAAATCTGGTAAAGTTACGCAGGTCTTGATTAAAGTTATACCGGTCCGTTAAACTTTGCTACCGATATGGTACACCTTTAATAAGGGAGCTATTACTACAACATATTACTAATCAATACCACTCGGGTAGAGTCATATGTGAATATCGCTTGGTACTATTTTAATACATGATTTTTACGAGTGTATTATTTATGCAGATTAAACGGAAACTCTACTGTACTGGATTGTGCGAAAAGTACGTAATTTTATCTGCGACGAGATTGTGACAAAGTATTTTTTTAATCTTAGAAACCTTAGAAACTGAAACATACGTTAACAAAATTGTGTTTCTAAAATACAATTTTGTTGATAGTGTGACCCGAGTTGCATATTTGTTTATTAACTTGTCAAATATGTAAATTATTATTCACCTCGGTTTGGAAGAATGAGTCACTTTTATAATAAACTAGTCTCTTAAGCCCGCAATGCGGGCTCGAAGTCCCTCGATTTTATTTAGTTTCGCGATACAAACGTCTTCTGAATAATTGTTACACATTTACATTCACACAGAGCAAAGGAGTGTGGTCTTGATTGCAACGTTATATAGGACGATGTGTAATAATACAGTTCGTCACGCCACGATTCTGAAGTGTGCGACCACGTAATACGTGTCGTCACAACTCTAACCGGTGCGACCACGAAAAACGTTCAGTCACGACTCTAAACGGTGCTACCACGAAAAACGTTCAGTCACGACTCTATGGGTGTGGCCACGAAAAACGTTCAGTCACAACTCTAACCGGTGCGACCACGAAAAACGTTCGGTCACGACTCTATGGGTGTGGCCACGAAAAACGTTCAGTCACGACTCTAACCGGTGCGACCACGAAAAACGTTCAGTCACGACTCTAAACGGTGCGACCACGAAAAACGTTCAGTCACGACTCTAAAGGGGGCGACCACGAAAAACGTTGAGTCACGACTCTAAATGGTGCGACCACGAAAAACGTTCAGTCACGACTCTAAACGGTGCGACCACGAAAAACGTTCAGCCACGACTCTAAAGGGTGCGACCACGAAAATCGTTTAGTCATGACTCTAAACGGTGCGACCACGAAAAACGTTCAGCCACGACTCTAAAGGGTGTGACCACGAAATACGTTCAGTCACGACTCTAGAAGGTGTGACCACGAAAAACGTTCAGTCACGACTCTAAAGGGTGTGACCACGAAAGACGTTCAGTCACGACTCTTTTGGTGTGACCACGACAAACGCTCAGTCATGATTGCAAAGAGTGCAACCACGGAAAACATTCAGTCACGACTCTAAAGTGTGCCATTGTTCTAACGTTTTAAAAACGTTTAGGCACTTGAAGCTAAAGCCCGCCCTCTAGCGCTGAAAAACAACCAACATCCGGTAGGTGGCGCTGGTAGGTAATTAAAATTAGTACGGCACAGGTTAAGTGTCAACTATACCGTAGGGGCACAGAGGTCACAGGTCAAGCGTCAAGTATAGTAGTTATGCCCAGGTTACAGGTCAGGTGTCAAGTTTAGTGGGTGTGTCCAGGTCACAGGTCAAGTTTAGTGGGTGTGCCCAGGTCACAGGTCAACTCCGTCAAGTGTCAACTTTAAGGGTTGTACGTAGGTTACAGGTCAAATGTCAAATCCAGGGGGTGTGCCCAGGTCACAGGTCAAGTGTCAAGTATAGTGGGTATGCCCAGGTCACAGGTCAACTCCGTCAAGTGTCAACTTTAAGGGTTGTACGTAGGTTACAGGTCAAATGTCAAATCCAGGGGGTGTGCCCAGGTCACAGGTCAAGTGTCAAGTATAGTGGGTATGCCCAGGTCTCAGGTAAAGTGTCAACTTTAGGAGGTGTGCCCATGTCACTGGTCAAATGTTAACTCTAGGGAGTGAGCCCGTTCATGTGATCAAGTCTCGACGGATCTAAAGGGTGTGTTTCGTTGTTCTAGTGTTAGTCAACGTTTGGGAAACGTTTTGACATTTGAGTGAAAAACGCCCTCTAGAAACGAAAAATACAACATAATGCCCAAACTGCCGCTAGGTGACGTTAGCTTGGACAATGTGAGACACGTGTATAATCAAGCGCCAAGTTCAACTGGTAACACACAGACACACACACACACACCACTGCACAATTCTTGGTTCTGATGCGTAATCACATAAATTTGGCAAATCGCGTTTCTGCCAAAAAATCCCTTCTTACCTGAGGTCCCACCCAGGACGACTATGACAACTAAAATGACTACCTTTTCCTGCATTGTGATCTCTCAAGGTGTGACTTTACTCGACTGGGGAAATCAGTAAGTAACCATGGGCTTATCACAGGTTTCACGCATGCATTTATCTATGCAATGCAAGTACGTATATATGTATGTACATATGTAAATGAGTCTTGTGTAACAGACGAGATAAAATAATAATTGTCTAACTGTGTTTCTAGGACAAGCAGATTCATCATAACTGTATTTTTTAGTTGGTATATTACTGTTTTGAGTTGTAAAATTGATACGTTATAAATTGCATCTTACAATTACATGATGAGGTTAGTGTTATCGTTGTTATCAGGTTGATCTGTCTGTATAAGGTTACCGAGAACAAGGGTTTCGCACACCTTTTTAATAAATAATTGCGGATTGAGATCATAAAGTCGAGTGGGTTGTTTGTGATTGATGAATGCTAAACTGGGAGTTGTTGATAAGGCAAGTTATCAATAACTTTTTATTGGAACGGATAGGACCTGGTCACAAGTTAAAATTACAACGTGTATGTACGTCGGAAACGGTTTTTCAATAACATCGGTGGATACTTTCCCTCTCAATTAAATGTATTTTGTAAGCAAGTACGACCCATTGTTCGTTGTTAAGTGGCGTGTTGGGTGTAACTTGCATCCGACTTTAACTTATGTGATTATTTAATTATTCTCCAAATCGAAGCATACGTTACATACTACCAGCGAACTTGAAGTCTAATTCCTGCATACATATTTGAATTTTTTAATTATCCTAATTGTTATACTAGTTACTTAGAATAATTACATATTATTGTTTAAATACGTTTTGCATTTTAACGGCTAAATGTGTTACAGGATCAGAAACAAGAAATTAATACTTAATCAATTAATAATATTATTAATTCTTTGGTTAATTACAAATTTAGTACTAGCTTTGAGGCACTTTACCTCGTTTGGTTACTTATAATTAAACCGTGTTTTGAACCTAATTAAGTAAACGTTATAATTACTTACATAAATACATACATCTGGATGCATTTTATACCCCTGTAAGACTGAAAATCCAATCATGCAAGCAGTCAGTACAATGTAATGTCCCAACTTTTCTAAACTAGGTCACAGCAATGTAACCTCAAAAGTAAATTGACTGGCAAATACATACATACATACATAAATAAATAAAGTGCATGTATGTATAAACATAACTTTTCCCCAATTAAAATCAAATAAAACTTTCTGAACTGGGATATCCAAGAAAGAGGATCCACCAAAATATGTTCCAATGAAATTTCCAAAATTTCGAAAAGTATCTCTCCCTTCTCACAATCCTTTCCTAGCCTTGCAAAGATTCGTCGTACTTACCGATAAGTTTCGATAAGTTTCGTTTCTTCTCCGGCTGTATTTCGTGGAACCGGGTGACATGGCAACCAACTCCGATCCCACGGATGGAAATAATCCCTTGGTATTTCCTCTTGTGCGTCGTAATTTTTATTACGATTCTGTACATTTTCGCAATCTGGCATCAAATCATTGTACATGAGAAAGATCCGGACCTTTCCATCGCTGCGGTTATTGTGTTCCTCACGGTGACTTGTTTACAAGCAATATCGTGCAGTGTCATGCTCACCTTTATTTTAAACAAGGTGGATGTTTGTTTCGTCTGGTGGAATTTACAAAAGATTGGACAATCTTGGCAATCCATGCGTAAGATTTACACATTTTCTTAAATTTAATACTGTGATTTGCTAATTGAACTACACTTTGTGTGGCTTGGAATTATATGACATGGTTTGGTATGATTTATTTCGCCATTCTTTTAAGCCTCCGGCCCATCAAATTTTAGACCATCTAGTAATTATGGCGAAATTATGTTTGATAATTTATGTACCAAATTATATCGTATCCAGTCCCCCATTAATAACGATATTTGACGAGAGTTATTGAGTTGGGTTTGCATAAATTCGTCTTCGAAAATAGGTACAACAAGATTTAAGCGAATAAGTTTATTTATTTGCATAAATACATCAAAAATGGGCAGTAGGCATCTATGTATCTATTTATATGCATACATACATATTTACCTAAACGTGATTAACCAATAGGCGTGCAAATTATTTTTAGAAACCTTAATTTGCCGTCGCTGTTCGGTCACATTTTGAACCAACTCTTTAATTCATGCAGCGATGCTCTAGCATTTTAATACTGGGGAAGTATAACCTCCATCATCCCGTTCTCGTATCCTTCCCATACTATTAACATGGTAAGGATACGAATGCGGGAATCAAATTTTGATGGAGGTTATGCTTTCCCAGGTATAGTTAGAACGCAAGTATGTACCTTCTAATTACTCTGAAGAACATCGATTTTCTGTGAAGTTTGACTCCTAGTGGCTCATACATATTTATAAATGCCTCATGCTAAAATTAAACTGTGAAGGATTCACCTTAAGTTGCCTTAGCTCATCCTCAGTTTAATTACATAATTATATCATTTAATTTCAAACTTACAAATTTTCTTATTATTTATTCTATTTTCAGAAACCGAACTGAGCAAAAAGTACATCCTGATTGGTCTTATCCTTCACAGCCTTATTTTCACCGTAATAGCAATTCCCTTCTGTGCAGCGTTAATCCCAATCATCCTGGATAACATGGACCCGACGTATTTCCTCTTTCGAAATGTAACCTTCCTTTCATACCATGTCAAACTTTTGCTCCGAATTTTCCTCATAATTATTGTCGTCCTTCAATGCACCATCGCAGCCCTCGGATTCGCCATCATTCTCTCCAACGTGCTCCTCCTTCTGGTCATGTCGCTCGAAAATATCACACCCATGAATACAAGCTTCTACAGAAAAATGGAATTTGCCAAGTTTTTCATACAATACCGTCAACTTCAAATTCTCAATCGGATCTGGAATAACGTTTGTTACTTGACGTTTTCGCTCGGACTTTTCCTCCCACTCGTTGCGGTCGTCCTTTTGGGCTACACCTTGATCAAGTTGAGATCAGTCATCCCGTTTCCACTGACTTTTTTGGTTGCTGGTGGATATTCCAGTAAGATCGAGAGATTTTGTTAGAATGTGGAGAATGTGTAAGCTGTCGGGTTGCGGTGTGAGGCAGGTGGAGAGTTGTGACACGTTAAGGGTGCATATGGGAACGTTCTGTGTAATAAGTGAAAGATCAAGAGGGATTTACTTGTCGACGATGGCGTATTACACGCTGTCCTTGATTATCGCGGTTTAAAAAAATCTTTGCCAGGCTTAACAAATGAGTATGTGGGAGCTGGTTTTGTCTGAAGAAATTAAATAAGTTTCAATAAATTTAAGCGTGTGGAATCGTACAGCATACGATTAACTTAGTACTAACGTTTTAGTGATGAGAGTATTGCATATAAATTTAGATTGTGCGTGTGCACTAGTCGGTATTGTCAAGTGTATACTGGTGCTTGATTAGATAGATTGTTATCCACTCTAATAAAGCGTTAGTGTTAAGTCGCTGCCTGCCTGCCTGGGGAGTGATGCGATGCAAGTTGCCCCGTAGAGAAGACAAAGAAAGAAGCGGAGCCACCACTGCATGAATAAATGCATGCATGAAATGTACATGCTGCTACCTACTGCATGAGTCTGAACTTCGCCTGCACTCATCATCATCCATCAATAGTGGTTATCATGATAAGTGATCGTGATAAACACTATTAATTAATTATTTTAGTTTGAGAAACTTCACCCACAGCGAGTGGCATATCAATTCGAATGTATTTTTGACGCTGAATCCAACGCCGTCAATGGTTTTAACCTCCGTGGCCCCCGTGACCTTCCCGTGACCGTGGGGGCTAAATATGACTTATTCGTGATGTCGCATATCAATTCGAATGTATTTTTGATGCTGAATCCAACCCCATTAATGGTTTTGACCTCCGAGGCCCCCGTGACCTTGCCGAGACCGTAGTGTCAAAATATAGCTTATTCGTGATGTCGCATATCAATTCGAATGTATTTTTGACGCTGAATCCGAATCCGTCAATAGCTTGGCGTTAATTGTAGAAGTTAACGGGGTTTATGGAACTGAACGGGAGCGTGAAGCGTGGGAATATAAATAGTTAGCTATGCAGTTACTCCCACGCGACGAATTTAAGTAATTAGCTATTCAACTACTCCCACAGGGGGAAATCAAATTGTACTGTGACCAGGTTAATTAAAAACCAGTATGACTTGGGCAAACCCTCACTCTGATGTATGTATGTAGTATGACAAAGTCTCCACTGGGAATTATTTAATGTATAGTATGACGGATTTTTCGCTTTGGGCACACTCCCCACTGGAACTCTAGAACCCGGCCTTGGCCGGGCTATACGCTAGTTCACAATAAACAATTATCTAAATACTTGAGGTTATTTATTTGAAGTTATATATTTGAGGTTGTTTAGAGGTTCGGGTGATTTAAATATACACAAATTTATAGTGAGGGTATTCATTATTTCTTCGTATCCATCGTCTCGTAAAATAGTTTACGAAGAAAAAACAAGGGGTCAAGTTTAGTAAAAATCGTAAGCGTAGTAACGTGATTTTCGATGACAAAATCTTACGACGCTTACAAAATCTCGTAAGCTTCGTAAGTTATTTTACGATACGAAGAATACTAAGGATACGAAGAAATAATGAATACCCTCAGTAATAATAAAACTTACATATCTCTACAAAATACACCTTCAAACACTTTCTGGTTAACAAAGATCGTGAATTTTTAGTACAAAATCTAAATTTCAAAAATTTGAAATTTTTGAAACATATACGTATGTTTAACAAAAAAAAATTTCTGAATATATACATATACGCTCTGTCTCAAAATGAAGAGATAGTTTTATAAAATTCTACTATTTCTTAATAGCTTAGTCCTGGAGCCTAAAGTTTTATTATATTATAGCTCAGGTATTGCTACAAGTTTATGCCAAGTTTCATTAACATTTGACTTAAATCAAGAAATTTATCTGCAATCTTAAAAAATTAGTCAAATTCGACTGTCTCAAAAGTAAGAGATATGGCATTTTTTTGAAATTTAATTATTTTATAAGTTAATTTGAAGGCG